TTTTTTTGTCATAACCAGTGTATTTTGATGTATTCATGACTTCTTATTCATGTATTCACTATTTTGTATGTACCGTAATTTGTATACAACGAAAATAATGTATTTCATCTATACATGTATTTATATGTATTTGAACTCATAACAACCTACATTAAAAATAATTGAAGTAATGTACCAATCTAACTGTATTCATCTGTATTTCCAAGCTTGCTAAGCTTGACTTCTATTGATTAGTAGTTTTGAAAGAGACAAGCAAGGTATAGATTGATCCCGGGAACCATCATACAATGACAAGGCAGAAACTGACACTTTTAATGTTGTGTGTGTTCCGAATGTGCCACAAAGATCTGGGAGCATGTATGCATTCAATCCTTTTTTTAATTCTTATATCATTTATAATCATATATATATATATATATATATATATATATATATACATATATATATATATATATATATGTTATTGTATTATTTTATTATATAATTGATTACATGTACTAAATTAGTGCATATANATATATATATATGCATTGTATTTAACTGTTGTCCATCTACTTTTTTCAGGGATTGTGGGTTATGTGTCGCAGCATATGCAGAGTATTTGAGCACTTGTGGATTGGTTCCGCAAACAACTTTTGATCCTAATTTGCTCTAGCTAAGATATGGTGCCCTCCTTTGGACTATGCTATGCGGAAGTTAGACTCCGATACGATAAGCAACAATGAATCGCCGGCAAAGATCGTAGGAAAACCACAGAATCGGATATATCTGTGAAGATAGTTATAGAATAGTTTTCTATTTTACAGAGTGTATTTTCAGCTTATTCTGAAACGATCATGGTTTTACACAACCTTTTTGATTAGAATACATGAATGTGTTTTTTGTCTTACCGCAACTGTTATTATGAATGTATCCATTTTTTTTTTATATACTTCAAATTCTCATGATTTAAGAATCCATTTTCACTTTACCGTTTTTTTAAAAGTGCTCTAAATAATGTAATCAAATGTAGTTGTATTAACCCTAGTACCATTTTTAGAAACTTCTCAAAATGCTCTCGGCGCACGTTAGTTAAACGTACGCTGAGCTTGTAGCCATGGCGAGAGGAAGAGGCAGAGGTAGAGGACGACCGCGTAAACATCCACTAGCAGCAATTGAGAACCTACTAGCAACAGTTAAGCAACCAGTAATGGAGAAATTAGCTCCAGTAACCACTCCTCCAAATACAGTTCGGAGCATAGATCCATCAACCGGAGGAACTGCATGTTTCAATTGGCTCAACATCACACCAATCTACTGTCTCAAAGAAGCTGGATCTAGCTTCTCTAGCTCCGATTGGAACAATACCAGATCCGGCGAAAGTTGCAACCAATGGAACAATTACCATGCAAAATCCAGTGCAGAACCAAGTTCACTCAACAGGAGAACAGTGGAACCAGTGGTCATAAATAAAACAACAGAAGAATCTAAACATTCATGGGCAAACCTCTTTCAGAAGAACAGATCTGCAACAAATGGTATGTCACTAGACTACATTCCACCGCTAATTGTAGATGGGCAGCCTATAGTTCAATTAAACAAATTAGAGGTGGAAGAGGAAGAGAACAAGTGGAAATGTGCGTTGATTGCTTGCATTTTAGGAGACGGGCCAGGATATAATGTGATGAAGAGATATATTAACTTGCACTGGTCACATATACCAGAACCAGATCTATTCTATCATGATGAAGGTTATTTCATAATCAGATTCAAAACTATGGAAGATGCTCATGAAATCCTTTGTGCTGGACCTTATTCCATAGCTAACAGACCTATAATTCTGAAACCATGGACCCCTGATTTTGATTTTACTGAGGAATTCCCTACTGTTATTCCACTATGGGCTAAGTTTCCCAAGCTTCCTATGTCTTGTTTGGGAATGAGATCATTGAGCAGGATAGTCAGTGTATTAGGGAGGCCTATTTTTGCTGATGAGTGCACAACTAAACAAACTAGAGTCTCCTATGCTCGGATGCTTATAGAAATTAATGTCACTAAAGAGCTGCCAAGTGAAATATGGGTGATGGACCCAAATGGGAACAAATTCTTACAAGATGTTATTTATGATTGGAAACCTGCCTTTTGTGAGAAATGTCAAGTTGTAGGCCACAGGTGTTCAACCCAAGTGAGACCAGTTACACAACAACCTAACCAATTGAAGAAAGCTAAAGTTACACAGGAATGGAGAACCAAGGCCCCGGTACCTGTAGCACCTTTTCAAAGAGAAGCTACATCATCTGCATCACAACATGATATTGTAAATAAGATAACTGAAATTCAGAGCCCTAAGGTGAGCAATGATCTACCAAGTCCGGTCCCAGTTGATGAAAAGCAGGAAGACAAAGGGAAAAAAGTACAAAGCCCAGAATGGAATCTCATTAACTTTCCTCCCTTATCACCCATTCCTGTGAGCAATAGATTTGAAGCTGTGTCTAATGGCAAGTATGAAGTGCCACCTGGGGATAGAGGTGGACCAAGTAATCAGCAATGAAGTGGTTGTTCTGGAATATTAGAGGTGTAAATAAAAGGTATAAACAGAAGGAAGTTAGGGAGTATATTAGAAGCAATAAAATAAAGCTAGTAGGATTAGTAGAAACTAAGGTTAAAGAGGATAATGCTCATAGAATTTCTAAGTTCCTGGTTCCTGGATGGGGCATGCTAGCTAACTATAATGAAGCTAGAAATGGGAGAATATGGATTATGGGATGCAAATCTGCTTACTGTTACTGGACTTCATGATGATCCTCAAATGATTCATTGCCTAGTTAGAAGTATATGGGGGGATATAACATGCTACCTCACTGTTGTTTATGGTTTCAATGGGATAGACCAAAGAAGATCACTATGGGATAATCTGTAACAATGTTCAACAACTATCACAGATGCTTGGTTAGTTGCAGGGGATTTTAATGCTATATTATATCCCAATGATAGACAATCATGTAATCCAGTTAATTATTCAGAGATTCAAGAATTTGGTTACTGTATTCAGCAAGCAGGTCTATCAGAACTACCTTGGAAGGGAGATTATTATACTTGGACAAATAAGCAACCTGGAGCAGATAAAATATGTAGCAGATTGGACAGAGTTTTTGGCAACTATGAGTGGATGATGACTTGGGGACATGTGGAGACAACTTATGATCTACCTCAAATCTCTGATCATAATCCTATGATACTGATCCTAGCAGCTTCTTCTTGGAAAGGAAAGGTTCCTTTTAGATTCTTTAATGCATGGGTTGATCATGATGATTTTCATCAGATTGTGGCATCCATTTGGAACTCTATAAATAAATCTGGATCTATGAAAGCAGTATGGTCTAAGCTTAAAGCATTAAAAGCCCCTCTAAAGGCTTTGAATGCTAAGGAGTTCAAGGGCATTACTCAGAAGATTGATCAATCCAGACTGGAGTTGAAGGAAGTTCAAGAACAACTTGCAAATTCTTACTCTGATGCCTTATTACAGAAAGAAAAAGAGACAGTACTCAAACTAGAAAGGTGGTCTTTAATTGAAGAAAGTGTGATGCAGTAGAAAGCAAGAGCAAAATGGATTCAACTTGGAGATTCTAATACTAAGTATTTCACTGTAGTTATGAAGGCAAGATCACAAAGAAAGCAGATGACAGAAATTACAAATGGTTTAAGTGATAGAGTAACTGATCCTGCATATATAAAAAGGGAGATTTTGGGATTCTACAAGGCGCTTATGGGCTCAGCAGCTAAGTCCCTTCCTGCTATAAATAGATTGTATATGGCTAATGGTCCCACACTATCCCAGCAACAAAGAATGGATCTCTGTGTAGAAGTAACTGATCTAGAAATTTTGGAGAGTCTCAAAGCCATTGGAGATGACAAAGCTCTAGGAATTGATGGCTACAATGCTGGTTTTTTTCAAGAAAACCTGGAATATCATCAGCAGCCAAGTTAAAGAAGCTGTCAAGGAATTCTTTCTAACTGCCAAGATGTATAAACCAGTAAATTGCTCCACCATCACTCTAATACCTAAAGTCTCCAAGCCTACCACAGTCAAGGAGTATAGACCAATTGCCTGTTGCTCAGTGATGTATAAAATAATATCTAAAATCCTAGCTACTAGGCTTCAAAAGATCATGCCAAGCATAATATGTGAAGCCCAAGCTGGTTTTATTCCTGGCAAGAAAATATCTGATAATATAATCCTGGCTCATGAATTAGTCAAATCCTATACTAGAACCCATATATCCCCCAGATGCATGATTAAAATTGACCTCCAGAAAGCATATGATTCAGTAGAATGGATTTTTCTACAACAGGTGATGGAGGAAATTGGCTTTCCTACCAGATTCATTAATTGGACTATGGAGTGTATCAAAACAGTTAGTTATACTGTTCTTATAAATGGAGAACCTACAGAGCCTTTTGAAGTTGCTAGGGGACTTACACAAGGATATCCTATCTCTCCTTTCTTGTTTGCAATAGTAATGGAATATTTGAGTAAATCACTTGCTGAGTTGGGGAAAGAGGCCACATTCCATTACCACCCCAGATGCAAAAAACTGGGCATCACTCACATGAGTTTTGCTGATGACCTCCTGCTATTTGCCAGAGGTGACCTAGCTTCTATTGCTGCTATGTACCAGTACTTCTCTCAATTTTCTGAAGCTTCAGGATTACAGGCTAACCTAGGTAAAAGCTCAGTTTATTTTGGTGGAGTGAAACAGGAAGTGAAGAAACAGATTGTAGATCACCTTGTATTTGTACAAGGAGAGCTACCATTCAAATACTTAGGCATTCCCCTTTCCACTAAGAAAATTGCTTTGATCCAATGGCAACCTTTAATTGAGAAAATTACAGCTAAGATCTCTTCATGGACTGCTAAGAAGTTATCATATGCTAGTTGAGTGCAACTAATTCAATCTGTGATTTTTGGCATTCAATCATACTGGGCTCAGTTGTTCATCATTCCAGTTAAAGTGCTGAAGATGATTGAAGCTATATGCAGAAGCTATATATGGTCTGGCGGCAACACTATCACTAAGAAAGCTTATGTTTCTTGGGAAAGAATGTGTACTCCCAAATCTGCTGGTGGACTGAACCTCATCAACCTTCTTCTATGGAATAAGGCAGCAATTGCAAAAGTGTGCTGGGATTTAGCTCATAAAGAAGATAAGCTTTGGATCAGATGGATCAATGCCTTTTATGTGAAACAACAACAGCTGGAGGATATGCCAATCCCAAAACAGGCTAGTTGGATGGTCAGGAGAATAATTGCTTCAAGAGATATCCTACAACAAGCTCAAAGTTCAAATGATCACAGGTGCACCATCAGACAGCTATACCTACAGCTCTTAGGAGATCTACCAAGAGTAAGTTGGAAGAACCTGCTTTTCCAGAATTCTGCTCGACCAAAAGCTGTGTTTAACCTACGGTTATTGCTACAAGGAAGATCACCAACCAAGGATAGATTAGTCAACTGGGGATTGAACATTAGCCAACAGTGTGTTCTGTGCCAAGGACATGCAGAGATAAGAGATCATCTATTTCTGCTATGCTCTTATACAACAAAGTTGTGGGAACAAATAATGAAATGGATTCAAGAAGATCAGTCAAATAATCATAATTGGGAACAACATCTTCAATGGATCATCAACAAAGCCAAAGGGAAATCAAGTAGGGCCAGCAATTTCAGATTGGTGATCACTGAAGTCTCCTATGCAGTATGGATGGAAAGGAATACACGTATATTTGAGCAGAGATACCGCAGCTAGGGGTGTACAAAGGAAACCGACAAACCGTACCAACCCGATAATCCGAGTCAAACCGAGAAAAAAACCCGACTATGGTTTGGTTTGATTTGGTTTGGTGGTGGAAAAAAAACCCGACCATGATTGGTTTGGTTTTGTTTTAACTAAAGAAAGTCAAACCGAAACCAAACCAACCCGACATTACATATAGAAAGTTTAGATATATTTAATATATAAATATACTTATTGTGATGTAATTTATAAATATTCTTAAACTTTTTCATAATTTTATCTTTTAAGGTATTATTTCAAGGTTGGACTTAGAACTTTTGAATGTTCCAATAAGTTTTATAGCCATTAATATTAGTAACTTAAACAATGCTAACAAAAGCCCAAACCAAAATCAAATCAATATTAATGCTAACAACATTCAATTCAATACTACGAACGACAATGTATTGAATATCTATTTTTTTTTTTGTAATAATTAAGATAAAAATGCATAACCTATTTTTATTTTTTCTTTAGCGTTTAATCACGTAATTTCTCCCTTATTAGTCTACTTATTTTAGCATGACTTAGTACTTTTTAGTTATGTTTATTTTTATTATGGCTTTTTAATTAGCGATATTTATATTACATAATGTTATTGTCTTTATTGTTGAATTATTTAGAATAATGCCATGACACTTCTCATATTTTGTATTATTTTCTTGAAAAATACCTTATATAGTTGTATCTTACTAGGATTAAAGAAATATTTTGAGCACAAGTTATATGTTGTCCTACGTAGATTTTACCGGGAAAAAGAATCCGAAAAAACCCGAATAACCCGAAAACCCGAGAAAAACCGAGATTGAAAAACCCGAGTTTTATTGGTTTGGTTTGGTTTTTAGATTTAGTAACCCAACACACTTGGTTTGGTTTGGTAATTACAAAATCCGAACCAACCCAGCCTATGTACACCCCTAACCGCAGCAGTGAAGTCTTAGCAAGAGAAATAGCTTATATCTGTAATGTTAGAGTAATTCCTAGAGCTAGAAAGCAAATGCAGCAATTTTTTTATAGTAGAGTAGCTTAACACAGTTATGTCATATCTAAGTACATTAGAGGATAATGAGATAGTCAGCTGAGTTTATGCTGGACTATGGATATGTAAAGCTTGATCTTTGGTGATTAATACAACAAGTTAATTACCAAAAAAAAATTTGTCATTTTACTTATCTTCCTAATATTTAGGACTTTTACATCAACTAGAATTCTATTTATTATATCTCTTCTTATTTAAACTATGAAAAATAAGGAAATTTTAAAAATCAATGTAGAGTTTACCTTATATAAGTGATTCACTGTAATTATGATACCGGGAAAAAAATAAATAATAGAAGAGGCCGAAAATAGATTAACGTTTCAAATATCCTTTCTACCAGGAGTATTTGATTTTGTTTGGCCAAAATCACTTATAACTTGAACTTTCCATGTTTCTATTTGTTTACATTTTTTTTTGTTAAAATAAATCATAATAACACTGCATAGTAATGTTCTTACTAAGTTTTTGATCATTGAAGAATTATTCTTACCAATTAAAAGTATCTCGTCGACTTTTATATTCATTAAATTAAATTTTACGCTAAACAAAATAGTTATTTAGTTACTTTCCTGACAAATAAGACTTTTTAATCACATAAGATTTTATTTACTAAGTCTATATTTATTAGAATAATAGTGTTCTAATCTCAAGAATTAAAAACTAATAGTAAAAATTAAATACTAAGGGCTTTTAGAATCTTTTTAACACTATTCGTTCATTATCACAAATTTAAATAATTAAGACTTTACCTTATATAACTATAATACCTTCCATGTTAGTATTTTTAATGTTTAGTATTTTAAAATTAGAAAAACAATGTATTACTTGTTAATATACTCTTGAAATTAAATAACGCAGACGGAATTGTGAATGTGCTATTTTCTTTATATCATAAACCAATTACTACTTGAATTCTAAATAAGTGCAATATAGAAAGATAAATAGTTAAAAGTCACGGTATTAATTAAAGATAAATAGTTAAACATGATGGTATTAATCAATGATGAATTTTTAATGGTAATTTATGATTTCTATAATATTATAGTTGAACCACTTTCCTACGCAAATAATATTATTTATTTGTTATTTTTATAATATTAAAAAATGACACTAAATATGTGACGACCCAAAGGGTCATTACCTGTTTTCTCACTCACTCCGTACTTCCGAGGCCTTGAAAACCTCATTTTTAGTCGCCTCGATTTGCGTGTGCAATCCGGGCGCGTAGCCGGAAAGCTTAAATATGAATTCTGTGTGAAAAATGATGAATTTCATATTAATATGATTAAAGTTGACTTTGGTCAACATTTTGGGTAAACGATCCGGACCCGTGATTGGACGGTCCCGGAGGGTCCGTATAAAAATATGGGACTCCGGCGTATGCCCGGAATCGAAATCCGAGGTTCTGAGCCCGAGAAGTGAATTTTTAAAAGAAATTGTTTTTCTGAAATTAATATGAAAATTTGAAAAAGAAATTGATTAGAACGTGTTGGGATCGGGCCCGTATTTTGGTTCCGGCGCCCGGTACAAGTCTTATATGTTGTTTAAGCGCTTTCTGTGAAATTTGGTTGAAATCGGACGTCATTTGACGTGTTTCGGACCTAAATCTCTAAAAATGATAGCTTATGAAGTTTGATGAAAAAGTGATGATTTTGAGGTTTGATTCATTGTTTTTGACGTTAATTTGGCGATTTGATCGCACGGGTAAGTTCGTAGGATGTTGTTGAGTTAGTGTGTGTGAGTGGTTAGGAGACCCGAGGGCCCGGGAGTGTTTTCGGAGGTGTTCGGGATGGTTTTAGAGTTAGGAAAATTGCAGAAAAATCTGCTGTTGGTGCACAATTTATTCCTTCTTCGCGTTCGCACTCCACCCTCGCGTTCGCATAGCTTCAGTGTTTTTCTTCTTCGGGTTCGCGTCACCACCATCGCGATCGCGTAAGCCAATATCAGGAGCCCAGCAACTTCCTCTTCGCGTCCGCAAGGCCTTCATGCGTTCGCGTAGTTCCAGTCTTTCATTCAATGCGTTCGCGTATCCCCTATCGCGTTCGCATAGGCCAATTCCCTGGACCCCAGTATTTTACCCTACGCGTTCGCATCCCCCTCTCGCGAACGCGATGCTTGCCAGCTCCCCCCTCTTCGCGAACGCGACCCCTGTGTCGCGAACGCATAGGGCATTTTTGCCCAGTCATTTAATGCTTCAAAAACAGAACAGTGACGGGTTAGTTCCAAAAATTTTCACGAGCTCTCTTTTTCCCCAAGCTCTAGGAGTCCATTGAAGCCCCCATTCTTCAAGACCATTTGGGTTAGTAATTTCCCACCTATTTCCTTCATTTTCTCTCATTAATTAGTGAGTTTCTAAGCCTAAATCATGTAATCTAGGGTTGAAATTGGGGGAAATGGGTAGAGTTAGGGCTTTTCAATTTTCTTTGATTTAGACCTCGTTTTGGGGTCGAATTTGGAAACAAATTATATATCCGGGCTCGTGGGGGAATGGGTGGAATTTGGCCCGAACCTCGTGTTTCGACCAAGCGGGCCCGGGGTCAATTTTGGAATTTTTGGAAGAAAGGTTGGAAATCTATATTTAGGCATTGGGTTTGATTTGTTTAGCTTATATTGATGTTGTAAAGTCGTTATTTCATAGATTTGATTGAGTTGGAGCCGAATTCGAGAGGGAAGGCGGTCGTTGTGGATTGATTTAGCTGTGGAAGTTGAGGTAAGTGTTTGGTTTAACCCTAGCTTGAGGGAATAGGAGTTGAGTCTTGTTTGCTATTTCTAATTGATCGAGTACGGTGTATAGGCATGATGACGAGTATCTATACACTGGTGTCTAGCATGACCATGAGTCCGTATATTGTGTTTATTCCTATTTTGTTGCTACTCTTCCTCGTGTAATTGATGAACTCTATATAATGTGAAGAGTATGAGAAAGAATTATGATTTGTGAACTCTTTGGAGCGTTGGCTCGAATGATAAAGTAATTATTGAGTAAGAAAAGAAAGAAAGAGAAAGAAATGTGATTATTCCCTTGCCGGGCCCTATTCGTATATTGATTACCTCCCTTGCCGGGATGTGAAAGTTATTATTGTTGCTCCCTTGCCGGGATTTAGCTGTTTACTTGTGTTTCCCTTGCCGGGACTTCTATTACTGTTTGTCTATCCCCTCGCCCCATTGGTTGTGATTGTTGTTTGGGTGAGGAAGAGTGATAAAGCACGAAGGTTGATGCTGTGCACGACTTGTGTTGAGAATATGTTAATGCACGAAGGAACATTCCGTGCCATGTTTTGATTATTAATGCACGAAGGAACAGCCCTAATCTGATTATTAATGCACGAAGGAACATTCCGTGCCCTGATTTGATTACTATTGCACGAAGGAATATTCCGTGCCATGATATGAGTGCTTATGCACGAAGGATCATTCCGTGCCATCATTTTGTGAGGTAAAGCACGAAGGGTGATGCCGTGCACTATATATGATTGTTTGGGTGAGAATGCGAGTAAAAGCACGAAGGGTGGTGCCGTGCAACTGTTGATTTCCTACTCTCGTTGATATTATAGTTGTACTGTTTCATTCCTTAATTATTGATTTTATACCTGAACTGTTACGCCCCTACAGCATGCTCCCCCTTGATTGGTTAATTTCTGTATACCTTTATATTGCATACATATATATATTGAACAGCACAGGTTTGTTTAGTAGTCCGGTCTAGCCTCGTCACTACTTCGTCGGGGTTAGGCCAGGCACTTACCAGCACACGGGGTCGGTTGTGCTGATGCTACACTCTGTGCATCTTTTTGCACAGATCACGGTGTCGGAGCAACTTTTGGACAACAGTAGGAGTTTTGGGAGCTGACTTCAGTCCAGAGATCCCGAGGTAGCCTTGCTGGCGTCCGCATGGCCCGGAGTCTCTTCTATCTTTACTTTAGTTTGTTATCCT